TCTTAATCATCACTATTTTTCAACTACGTGTCCTTTTTCAAAAAATATATTTTTGTTGATTTCAGACAGAAAGGGAGAGGGAGAGATAGAAACATCCATGATGAGAAAGAATCATCGATCAGCTGCCTCCTGCACACCCCCTACTGGGGATCGAGCCCACAACCCAGGCATGTGCCCCAACTGGGAATTGAACCATGACCTCTTGGGCCATAGGTTGATGCTCAGCCCCTGAGTCATACCGGTCGGCCACTATTTGTCATTTAAGTCCATATGTCTTCATCAGGGTTTCTCAGCCTCAGCACTATTGAAATTTGGGGCCAGATAATTCTGTGTGGTGGGGCTGTGTATGCATCCTGGCATGGTTAGCAGCATCCCCAGCCTCTACCCACGAGATGCCAGGAATACCCCTCCCCACTTACGACAACCAACAATGTCCTCAGACAGCACCCCATGTCCTGCAGGAGGAACCTGCCCCCAGTGGAGAACCACTGGCCTGTGTACTGCTTTAAATTACAAGTTCCTTTCGGATCAGAACTACCCTACGGCGTACAGATGTCCCGACAGGAAGGTGCTCAGAGGAGGCTGTTCAATGATGACCACAATCACTAAAAATGTAACCGGCATTTTGGGCTCACATCGAAAGGAAAGGAATGATTTAAACAGATGATGGTGTTAACAGTGGGTAACGTGTCTTATTCAGCCTTCCAGTCTAATCCATAAGATTGAAACAAAACTTAGCTCTCTCTTATTAAGCACACAGAGGAATTGAGATTTTGTAGGAATGACTTCATCACCTCATCATTAAACTGCTCCCACAAAACAAGGTGAAAGGCAGGTCACCTGACCTCTCCCCCCCCGTGCCCAGCCCCCCCGCCCGCCTCAGAGGGAAGTGCGTTTCTTCACAGTTACTCTTCTGCGAGGCAGGGAGACAGGGCAGCACCTCATCCGTTCTCGGGAGCTGACCCTTGTCCAGTATTTCAAGTATATTTCATGGGTGAAAAAGCGAAAGATAGATATGATCTGATCTATCGTTATTCCTGCTGCTGTTATTCATCCACTCAAGAGGCATTAAACTGCTGGAGAAGAATGATCTCTTTATAGCCCTCTCTCCAGGCGAAAGAACAAAACCTTTTATCAGTTAATCTGATGAATTACATGGGTTATTTTTATTCTATTCATAAGAGGCCAGGCATGTAGGTCCTGCTTGTTCTTACATGCATTGGTTCACAATTCAATTAAACAAATATTTATTGAAACCATGGGCCAGGAGGCTCTGATAGTCACCAGCCACCGCAGTGGAAATACCCAGATAAGCGAAAGATGAGGGTCTGCCCTCAGAGAGTTTACATTTTTCACTTCAGTAACAATTGGTTGTGTATTTGTATTATGTCCCCATTCATACCTGACTTTGTGAAGGCCCCACACTGCACACTCTGGGAGAGGTTTTAGAAATCTGATTGTGGTTTTAAGGCCTGAGCACCCACAGATGACAAGAGATCAAGAAAAATTGTTATGGGGAACATGGCTTTTAAAACATTAATGGTGAGCATTTTCCCTGAGTATAAAATTAATGCATGTTTCTAGTTGTGTTTAGAAAATACAGAGAAGGAGCAAAGCCCTGGGGGAAATGGTCTCCCATAAGCAGTGGAAGGTTCATGCAAAGGTGCAGGGCCTGGCGTGCTGGGGAGCCGGTGGGGGAGCCTGAGGAGCTATGGAGGAACACAAGGCGGGGGGGCCTGCATGTCCGCCCTAATCAGGAGGGCAATGGGGAGCCATTGATGGTTCAGTGTCCTGGGCATGGCCTCCTTTCATCCTCACAAGAACCCTTTGTGGCCGCCATGCTCCTGCTCTCTTTTCGGGTGTGGAGCTGAAGGATTTAAGGTGGGCAATCACCTGCCCACGGTCACGCAGCTAGTCGATGGGAGAGGTAGGCACTCCACAATCCCAGGCTCCTCGTTCAGAGTGGGAATTGAGTGGGGCAAGAAGAGGACTGCGATTTAGCCCATCAGGACCCTTAACGCAATGGCATGGATCCAAGGATGGCACAGGCACAGGCAAAGGCTCCCGCCTCCTTTGTAGAGAAAAGACCCATTTACAGCCCAGAGGCAGCTACCCAGAGCAGGCGGCTCAGCAGTGCCTTTGGTGGTGGCTCTTCCCTGACCTTCGGGCACCTGCAGGGCATGCCACTGCCACGGTACCACCTGCCTGAGGTCAAGATCCCTTCCGGAGCGTTGAGCAGCATCCTTGGCACTTTTCATGGGGACTTTGTGCCACTGACCCATTCCAACTGCCCTGGGTCACCTGGCTGAGAGCCAGACTGCTCACCAGGTGTGAGCGAACGGAGCTCAGCACAGCCCTGAGAGGCTCTGGGATGTGTCCCCAGGCTACCAGGCCCCTGGAAGACCCAGGCCAAGAAAGGGCAACGTGTCAAAGTACATTCATGAACGTGAATGGGATTGATGGTGTCTGATGCCACAGAAAGGGGACCGTGCACAGGGCTGGGAGGCGCACGGAGTTACTGGGAACCCGAGGAAGCACTCAGAAAGGTGGTGGTGGGAAAAGCTGGGTGGCTCAGGGTTACAGCGGGAAGGACCCAGAACTGCATGAATGCGGTCCACTCCTAGCTGGCTGCTGATGAGAAGGAGGGGAGAGGGGAGAGGTGGTAGTGGGGTCGGGAGGGTTTGCTCAGGGCCAGGTGAGGTATAAACTTTTCTCCTTCAATGGCATCCAGCGAACACATTTCCTGTGCCTCGTAGATGCCAGGCACTGTCCTTGTGCCAGAGATACAGCCATGAAAAGGACCCGCAAAACTCCTGTCCTCGTGCAGCTTCTGTTTGGGGCAGGGGTTCGAAAGGGGTGATGGGAAAAAAAAACATGAAAACAAATGCACAGCCCTAGCCGGTTTGGCTCAATGGGTAGAGCGACAGATTGCAGACTGAAGGGCACATGCCCGGATTTCGGACTCGATCCCCAGGAGGGGGCGTGCAGGAGGCAGCCAATCAATGATTCTCTCTCATCATTGATGTTTCTATCTCTCCCTCTCCCTTCCTCTCTGAAATCAATAAAAAAATATTTCTAACAAAGAAAAGAAACACATAAATGTAAATAAGATCATTTCAGATGATGATGCGAACATGTCAATGACATATCAGTGAACAAGTAGATGGATGCAATCAGGTACTAGAGGTTGGCTGAGTTTGGGGGGAGGGGTGCTCAGGCAAGGCCTCCCTAAGAGGTGACATCTGAGAGGAAGTCTCCGCAGCGAGAAGGAACCAGCCGTGCAGTCTCTGACAGAGGGGACAGCGAGTTCGCAGGCCCTGTGGCAGGTACCAGTACAAGGAACAAAAGGGCCAGTGTGTGAAGCACAGGAAGCAAGGGGGCGGGAGGCGGGGCAGGAGAGGGAGCCAGCACCAGGTTCCCATGGGCCTCAGGCCACGGAGCCACTTGGGTTTAAGCTCTGATGGCAGTGTCCAGCCAATGGGAGGTCTGAAGCCAAGGGATCATGGATGTGTTTTTAAAAGAGGACCTTGGCTACTGAGTGGCAAAAGGACTCCAGGGGCAAGAGTGAAAGTGAAAGTCGCTGGGGACCTCCCAGAGGTCCGGATGAGAGATGATGGACCAGGGTGGCCGCTGGGGAGGAGAGTATTGTGGATGCCGAGTCCACGGCCCTTGCGAATGAACTGGATGCGGGGAGCGCGGGGGAGGGGAATGGAGGCTGAGTCCTCGGGCCCCTGGCTGAGCACCCAGGTGACTGGTGGTGCAATTTCCTGAGATGAGAAGACTGGAGGAGGAGTTTGGGCGAGTGGAGAGAAACAGCTTCAGATTCGGACAAGTGAACTTTGAGGTACCAGTATGTAGGAGGAGACTTGAAGTAGACAACCGGGAGAAGCCGGGCCAGGAATACAGATTTGGGGGTCATTAGTTAAACAGAATTACCATGCTCGCTTCGGCAGCACATATACTAAAATTGGAACGATACAGAGATGAGTATGGCCCCTGTGCAAGGATGACTCACAAATTCATGGTGTTCCGTATTTTCTAGGGTGAAGCGGGCCAAATATATGATGGAAGATGACTTGACTTTGGGTGGGGGCCACACAATGCAATATACAGATCATGTGTCACAGAAATATACACTTGAAACCTATATAACCTTATTAACCAATGTCACCCCCATAAATTTAATAAAAATTAAATTCAGTTAACTTTGAAAGGTATACATAAAATTACCATGTGACCCAGAAATTTCACTCCCAGGTATAGACCCCCCAAAAAACTGCAAACAAATATTCAAACAAAAATTTGTACACAAATACTCATAACAGCATTGTTTAAAGTAGCAAATGGTGGAAACAACCAATCTCTACCAATGGATAAGAGGATAAACACAATGTGGATTAACCACATTGCGGAATATTATTCAGCCATGAAAAGGAACGAAGTAGCGATACACTCGGCAGCATGGATGAACTGTGGGATCATTACGCTAAGTGAATGATACCATTTATCTGGAACATTTAGAATAAACAAATCCACAGAGACAGAGAGCAGATTAGTGGTTGCCAGGGGCTAGGAAAAAAAGGGAGTGGGAAGAGGCCACTGTGAATGGGTATGGGTTTCCTTTGGGGTGATGAGAATGTACCAGAATGGAGACAGTCGTGGTGGTTGCACAACAATGTGAATGTACTAAATCAGATACTTTAAAACAGTGAAATTTATATTAATAGATTTTTTAAAATATATTTTATTGATTTTTTACAGAGAGGAAGGGAGAGGGAGAGTTAGAAACATCGATGAGAGAGAAAGATCGATCAGCTGCCTCCTGCACACTCCCTACTGGGTATGTGCCCGAAACCAAGGTACATGCCCTTGACCAGAATCAAACCTGGGACCCTTGAGTCCACAGGCCGACGCTCTATCCACTGAGCCAAATCGGTTAGGGCTTAATAGATATTTTATCACTTAACAAAAAAAAAAAATAGGCATTGGGATTGGATGGTATATGATCTAAGGAGAGGAGGTTGATGGAGAGAGTCCCGAATGAGCCCAGAGCACCCCGGGTAGGCAGAGCAGGGTGAGCCAGCAAAGGAGGCTCAAAGGGCGGGAACTACGCTGTAGGAGGAAATACAGGAACATTGCTGTCCTAGAACCCAAATGAGAAACATGTTCCAAGGAGAGGAGAGTGACCATCTTGTCAAAGAGCGACGATGTGTGCCTTGCGGGTGGATGTTGCCAGATTTGTCCACGCAGAGTGGAACCATTTTGCACTCTCATCAGCCTGCAGGAAGGGGCTCATTTCCCCACAGTCTTGCCAGCAGATCGTGTGGTCAACATGTTTGCCAATCGCAGAGGCAAGAAATGGGTCTCAGGGTGGTTTTCACCTGCAATCCTCTTATGGAGAGTGAGGCCGAGCATCTTCTCAGGCGTTCAAGGCCCACGTGTGTCTTTCTTGCCTCTTTCTTTCCTCCAGGCTCGCTATTCCAGATCCCAGGGCAAGCGGGTTTTTAATGCTCTGACAATAATGATACTTCAACTGGCAACAATTTAAAGATTCTTGGTCAGTCAGAAGTGTTGCCTGCCAGAGGTTTTACATGGCCACAGACAACGTTTTCAATAAAAATACAAAGAAACAAGAAAAAGAACTAAACAAAGAGAATGGGACGTCCACCCATGTTTCTATTGCCCTGTGTTGGAAAGAACGCATGTGTCCTCTGATTCCATTTCAAGTCTTTCATTGTGGTCGTTTGGTTTGGTGCTTTCTGATGGATGCCGCCTACTTGCATGGAATCATTATGAAGTTTCCAAAGAAAGTTCTTTGTAATGCGTTCAGAAGGAAATTGAGAGGAAAATAAACTGAGCTGAGGTACGGAAACAGAGCTGGGGAGTTCAAAAAATAAATAAAAAGCAAGAAAACTATTTGCTCATCACAAATGAAGCTAAAAAATATAGCTGCACAAACAGATGACTAAATAATACTCAGGCTCCTCTTTAAGTACCATGTTACATAAGATTTTTCTACCAAACTGATATCACCCTTAGAAACACTGAGATGTGACATTTTTTTTAAAAAAAATATAGTTTCATATACATCCAGCACATGCACAGCAGATATATCTGCAAGGGGCTGGCAATGCTGCATGTAGAGTGAACATAGTAAGAGAGGATCTTGGATTTTTCCTACTTGGGCTTCTGGGTCCATATTTAGTTCCTGTTTGCTTTCAATATGACTTGCACAGCATAGTGGTTAAGCAATCATATGCTTTACAAAGTGTTCCCCTGATTCTTCCCAGTACCCACCTGGCACCATACATAGTTACTCCTATGTTATTGGCTATATTCCCCATGCTGTACTCTACGTCCCTATTCTGTAACTACCAACTTGTACTTCTTAATCCCTTTACCTCTGTCACCCAGGCTCCCAAGGTGCCTCCCTCTGGCAACCGCAAGTCCACTCTCTGTGTCTAGGCGTCTGTAAGCCATTGTTAATACCAAATGGCAAGATGAGTCATCAGACTGAGTTCTTGGACTTTAATCAGGTGAGGTTTGGGGTTTTTTTGTGAGGTTTTGTTTCTTTGGGTTGGTTTGTTTTGTTTTTTTTTTGGCATAAATGTCAGGCTCACTTAGTCCATGACCACATTCAGGTTGAACTGTTATCAGCTCTGTCCTTTATGGCTACTGACGACAATTAGATATGCAACTTAAGGATGTACAGAATCAGGATGCTCATGAGCTTCAGACTCTATAGTAAGTCTAAATCTATATACTGAAGGGAGTGATTTCTTAGTCAAACCTCTGCTAGCCGATACTGTAGGCTCTAAATCACCCTCCCAATCAAAATCATTACTTTAAGGTCACAAAAATCCTGTTTTTCAACAGACTCTAGATGACTGAGTGCCTGGTTTTACCTTACCTCGAAGACCAGCTTTGTTCTTAAGTGATAAAGGTTTGTTGTATCTCCCCTGCCCAGTTAGTTGCTGTCTGTCACACTAATTCTAGCTCAGGGAACAGCGGTGGACAGCAACTCTGAGATGTCTACACAATTGCTAAAAAGAGGTCTCTACAACAACTAAGTGGATTGGCAGATTTTTCTCCTCCTGGTATTTTGAATTATTAAAGTGAACCTGGATTTTTCTATTCCATTTGCAAGAAAACAGTTGAGTTCTTGGTTTCTAATGAAAGCTATAAAAGAGCAGTCTATGTATCCCTACCTTAAGCCCATACCTAACAGAGATATGCCTCACACCACCCCACCCTTCTCCCCACCGCTGTGCTGAGACCCAGGCTACTTCCTCAGCACACGTGGAAACTGACCCGACCACAGTCAGCCTGTGGCATTCACGGCTTTGTGACAGACGGCAACCCTTCAACACACTTGACTTGTTCTCACCAGGGCAGGGTCTGGATGCCATTTGGGGGTGGGGGTGGGGGCGGGGCATCTTCAGTGTGAGATAAGCCAAGTCACCATGCATGCCCTTTGTCCCAGCAGACTTATAACAACTACAGCATGTGTGAGCTACAGGCGACTGAAGAATGTGCCTAAGGTGGCCGGCTTTCTCACACAGAGTAACACCTTGCTATGGGCTGAGGTGTGTCCCTCAAAAACATGTGCTGGAGTCCTAACCTTCAGCACCTCAGAAGGTGACCTTACTTGGAGAGAGGGTCTCCTTTTGAATTTATCTTTATTGTTGAAAGTGTTAAAGATGTCCCCTTTGCCCCATGGACCCCTTCTAGCCCACATCCGCCCCCTCCCCTACCCTAGGCTTCACCACACTACTGTCTGTGTCCATGGGTTATGCATATATGCATATAAGTTCTTTAGTCAATCTCTTTCCACCCAGTCTTTATAGAAGCAATCAGGATAAAATAAAGACATTAAGGCAGGTCCTGTTTCCAATATGGCTAGTGTCTTCGTAAAAAGAAAAAATTTGGACACACACATAGACATGCAGAGAGGGAAAGATGGCCATCTACAAGCCAAGGAGAGAGGCCTGGAATAAATCAGTCCCTCTCAGTCTCAGAAGAAACCAACTCACTCACACCTCATTGACCCAGCACTAAACCCCTCACACTTTGCTTATCTCCCATGAAAGATGCCCCCCCTACACCCCCAAATGGCATCCAGAATGGAACAGTCCATATAAATTCCCTTTCTACATAATATGTGTCCTACAAAATAACAAGTTCCCAAATTGTCATACTACTTTTTAATATATATATTTTTATTGATTTCAGGGAGGAAGGAAGAGGGAGAGAGAGAGAAACATCCATGATGAGAGAGAATCATTGATCGGCTGCCTCCTGCAGGCCCCCCACTGGGGACGGAGCCCGAAACCCCGGCATGTGCCCTCACTGGGAATCGAATGGTGACCTCCTGGTTCATAGGTCGATGCTCAACCACTGAGCCACGCCGGCCAAGCTCATACCACTATTTTTTAATAAAAACATTTCTAAATGCACACTCCGTGTTCTTAAGCTGAGGACAGTGAACATCCTCGGAACCTTTCTTGGTGACACAGGAACCATGAGTGATGGTGAGGGACAGCACACTGTGCCTCTGGAGGAAATGACCTGACTGGCTTCCCTGTTTTCTCCTCTAATAGGAAGTTCCCGGATGACCCCTGGGCCCCCTGCCTCGCCCTCGTTCCTTCCCTCCAATATGCATCTCCTAATCTGTTGTGAAAAACCAGAAACCGGACAAACAAGACATTGCAACTCTTTCTGAAATAAAATTAATAGCTCCAAGTTAGGGTCTGAAAGACTCTCCTAGGGATTAAACCACATGGACTTGGAAAAAGCTCTTTTGTTGTCTTCTTTCCTCTCCCTTCTCAGTGGGAGAGGTGGTCAGACCCTTGTACTCGGGGAAACTTAAGTGTCTTTGCTACAGTGACACAAAGTAGGTCACATGAGACTCTTCTGGCCTCCTCCCCGACATGTTATGAATTTATACCATAAGAAGCAGCAGCTTGGATCAATTATAGCTCAGAAAAAAGAAAAAAAAAAGGTTCTCTATTAAGAGCCCAATGGGGCTTTGTTTTGCCATTGTTGCTCATTTATTTGGAATATGGTTATACCATAGGGTAGAACTCTCTAGAACAGCCGTGGACAAACTACGGCCCGCGGGCTGGATCCGGCCCGTTTGAAATGAATAAAACTTAAAAAAAAAAAAAAAGACCGTACCCTTTTATGTAATGATGTTTACTTTGAATTTATATTAGTTCACACAAACACTCCATCCATGCTTTTGTTCCGGCCCTCCGGTCCAGTTTAAGAACCCACTGTGGCCCTCGAGTCAAAAAGTTTGCCCACCCCTGCTCTAGAATGACCTTTCCATGATGTAAAATTCGTTTTGGAAATTCTAACTCCCCAGATGGAACAATGATCAGATTAAATGGCCACAAAAGAAGAAACTTCCCTTTAAAAAAAAAAGTACTACCAAATTAGATTCTTTACTACATCCTCTCACTTCTATAAAGAACTTTCATTCAATTGGTCAACTTCTGCTGAGTGGAAGCCAGCTCCTTTGCCACCCTTGATTTTGTTTAGCATGAAGGTATTTTCTGCTTTATGTCCCCATCTGTGGTGGGGAAAAAAAATTTTTTTTAAATAAAATAAAGACTAATGTTTATTAAGTACTTATGATGAGCCAGGCACTATGCCAAGTGCTTTATATACGTTATCTTATCACATCTTCCCCAACATCTCTGAGGGAGCTGTGATGATTATTGTCATGCACCAGGGAACATTTCGGTCAATGATGGACCCTGTATATGACAGTGTTTCTATAAAATTACAGTAAGCCCCCTTTTAACGTCGTTGATAGGTTCTTGGAAACTGAGACTTAAAGCATAACTGATATGTAACACAAACAATTTGCCAGGGGCTAATGGATACAGACAAGAGTTAAGTTCCAAGATATTTTTCTGGTCACAAACACATCACCAAAATTCAAAATAAAGAGCCAAACACTTCAACTATTCAACACTGAAATAAATGTGAGCTATACATACATTTAAGAAAAATTAATACAAACAAGTGAGATAACGATTGTCCAACCCGCTTTTTCCAGTTCTGGGTCCTGGGTGGCCAGAGCTCAGGGTGCAAGACGGGATGGCCTTCCATCGTAGGGCCTCTCAGACTGGGACAATTCAGACACCCGACTCACCTCACCTGCACATCTCTGGGACATGCTAACCTAACTCAGGGAAGGCCTGCACGGCAGCCTTACAAACTCAAAAGACCTAAAGTAACCACAAAGGATGGTCCGAAATTAAAGCCTTTAATTAAAAGACAAAGATCAACTTCTACCGTCTTTTTGCATTGAAAATAACATACCTATGGAATACCAGGGTAACTTGAACTTCCCTTTTTCCAGATGCCTCAGGGCACAGCCAAGGCACCACAGCAGAAACCACAAGTTCCCTCATTGTTATTGTTATATGTTCATTGTTGACTGTTAACTATCCTGGACTGACCTATGTAAAGGAAGCATGTGTCTATCATTTCACATTTTACCCAATCCCAGAGGTTTCCTGCCTCCCTAATCTATCACCAATGGATTTCTTGTAACCCACTTACGCCTCCTCCTTTGATGGAAATGTATAAAACTAAGTGAAAAGCCGCCATTTTTCAGAGCACTATCTCAATACGTTGAGATTCTGCTTCCTGGTAATTGTCAACACTGTGTCTCAAATAACTCACAAAAATTCTTTACAGGCTTGAAGGATTTTACTTAACACATGGGAGGAAACCAGGGCCCAAGAGAAAATCCACGCAGACATGGGAAAACATGCAAACTCCACACAGACAGTGGCCTGGCCAGGGATCATTTTTTTATTTTCTCACCAACTTTATAACGGAAACATTGAAGGAAACAACGTTATTCAATGCCCTGCTGTATAACGGGGCTGAAAAATTCTTATCTAGTGACGTCACAGTTTACACAACACCCTAGCGCAACACGTTCCCCATGTGTATGCAGCGATTCTGATGTAAACAAACCTACTGCCTGCCAGTCATATAAACCTACAGCACAGATCATCACAGCGGTAGGCTGTACCATCCAGGACTGCTTCAGGGCACTCTATGATGTCGGCATGATGAGGAAATCGCCTACGGACCCATTTCTCAGAACACATCCCCCTCCTTTAGCCTTAATGACTGGATTCCCTTTAAGGCAGCGGTTCTCAACCTGTGGGTCGAGACCCCTTTGGCGGTCGAACGACCCTTTCACAGGGGTCGCCTAAGACCATCCTGCATATCAGATATTTACATGATGATTCATAACAGTAGCAACATTACAGTTATGAAGTAGCAACGAAAATAATTTTATGGTTGGGTCACAACATGAGGAACTGTATTTAAAGGGCCAGACGGTTGAGAACCACTGCTAAGGAATGATGAAATTCAAATACCATTTTGAGTGAGTCATCCAGGTACTAACGGGCAGAACCTGGATTTTAATCCAGGCAGTCTGACTCCAGAATCTGCCTTCTTTAAAAAACAAACAAACAAACAAACAAACAAACCATTGGGCTGGGAATCAGAAGACTTTGGTTCTAGTGCTTTTATTTATTTTTATTTTTTGTTACTCCTCAGCTGAGGATATCTTTCCATTGATTTTTAGAGAGAGTGGAGGGGGAGAGACAGAGAGAAACATCAATGTGAAACAGACACATTGATTGGTTGCCTCCTGCACAGAGATAGAGCCTGCAACTGAGGTACCTGCCCTTGACCAGAATCAAACCCAAGACCCTTCAGTCTGCAGGCCAATGTTCTATCCACAGAGCCAAACCAGCTAGGGCTAGAGCCTGCCTTCTTGATCATTATGGCATAGAGAGAGAAGTAAATGTCAAAATTAATTACTAACATTAGTGTAATCTGCTAAAGCACCATAATCAAAATTATGTAATAGAAAGCACATTAAAAAAAAAACTGCATAGACCAAGGATATTTTCAAAATCTCCCAACAATACTGGTTATGCTATAAAATACTGATGATTATTTTTGCAAGGTTAATTATGGGTTTGTAAGTTGCTTAATAAATTACTTTCATTTAAATCACCTCCCAGAAGAGTTCTTATGAAAAACACTACATGTGTGGAAAATTTTTAAACCAAGATCATTATCCTTACGACAGAGCAACGGAAAGGCATATAATCTCTATTAATTAGTAATGGGGGAAATGTCAAATATGTCTGCTTGCAGAGTAGCAGGGGGTGGGGAGAAGGAGAGTGGGATGGAAATGGCGACAAGTCACAGGAATCATCACTGTAGACATTTTCAGAATAAGAAAATAAAACATTTTCAGGACTGTGACAATACGGCCATTTTCCAGGCTTTTCAGAGAGCCTCAAAGCTTAATGTATATGTGACTTAATTACCTCGTCTGGAACAATACATGTCAGCATGCGGAAATGACAGAGCAAGTCGAGCTTGCTTTTTAATTTTCTGCTTCAAACTCCCAAACAGCTTTATTTTGCCTCTTAAATAAAATTCCCAAGGTTGTCACAACTTTTGGGTCTTGGATTCTCGGTAAGAGTGAAATCGTTTTTCCAGTTACAGATTTAAAAAACAACAACGAAACAAAACAAAAGTACTTAATTGCTTGGCTTTTCTTTGGTGTTCTTTTGTCTTCAGAGTTAGATTTATGTGGCACTTTTGGAAAAGCACACAGAAATATACTAACAGTGAAAATTTCATTTGTGTAGATAAATATGATTATTCTCCTAGCTCTATTATATTTTAATAAATTAAAAAATACAAATGAACAATGCATGATATAATCTCTTCACTTATTTAGTGCTATTGACTTAAAAAAAATTACTCCAGAGGAGAAGACAAAAATCACAAAGTCAAGCATGAGAAGGACTCAGTGTGCCCTTACTGGTCTGACGATGGAGAAGACCATGCGAGAAAGAATGCAGGAGGCATTTGCAGAGAGTGGCCTCTGGTGACAGGCAGCACAAGAAGCAGGGAGGGACCACAGTCCTACAACCAGAGCAAACACATTCTGCCAAGAACTATGGTGAGCTTGGAAGAAGAACCTGAGCAGGCGACAAAAATGCAACCTGGATGTCACCCTCACCAGAGAACCCAACCTCTCCAGCCTTCTCATCTACAGAACTGTGAGATAACACACCAATGTTACCGCAGGTCAGGAAAAGCCACGGATCCAGGCAGGCGGATTGGTGTGGAAGGCGGGGTGGTGAAGGCCTAAAAGCCTTCCCTCTCACTGATCCCCAAATGGATTTGGTCTCTTCCCCACGGGCCAGCCAGGAGAACACTGTATTTAGAATTGCCACCCCTTATCTTCATTGGGCACTAAAGCCACTGCCCCAACTACACTTGATAACTTGACTCCAGGAACTCTCCTTCAGTGCTCCCAAGCCCAGCCCCAAAAAGGGATACCGGTGGGATTCCAGCGTCTGTGGAGACCAGATGGCCTCGGGCTCCTCTGGGGGGAAAGGTGAGACCTGGAGGTCCCCCTCTGTCCTTCCAGAGGCCACCTGAGGACGGGCTTGGTGGGGGCAGGCTCCTTGTCTTCTGCTCATTGGGGAAAGTTGGTCACGAGTTCTGGAGAACCGCATATCCAGTGGGAATGTTCACGCCCGCGTGCTGAGGAGCATCTCTTTGATGTTGATCTCTTGGAACTTTCAGGGGTTACAAAGGACCGAAAGCCACAGCTGTCTTTGGGGGGCCCCTTTGGAAGATGTGAAAACAAAGAGCTGTGAGGTCGGCTGGAGAAGACAGCCCAGAAGAGAGAGAGACAGGAAAGAGCAGAGAATGACAAAGGAGAAGGGAGAAAGCAGGGAATGGAAGGGAGGGGAGCTGGGTGGCCACCTCGATGGTTTCAGTGGGTGGGTCCGGGGACCACAGCTCCTCACCCTGAGTCCTCCTACCCTTCACTGCTCTGCCCCCAAACACATTTCTATGGAAACTGCAAAGCGTAGGCAGGCATTTGCTCCTCTAGTTCCCTTTCCCAGGAAGGGATGAGGGGGGCTATGTTGGTCTCCAAGTGAGTGGAAGCCAAGTCTGCAGCCTCCTCTGCTCCCTTGGAGACCACTGGGGGGTTGAGAATCGCATGGAAGCTTTGGGCATATGTAACTTTATGCTAAATTTATACCAAATGGAAAATAATTTTTTTCTACCTGTGATCTTTTCCAAGTTCATCATTTGTATTTTGAATTTAAATTAGTATGTAGCCCCATGTATCAACTAAAAATTCTGGGTTTTGTGTGATGTGTCAAAATGTCTTCCACTGTACAACTCTAAATTTTTTCCTCGAGGCAGTTTTGGAGCAAGAAATTGGATCTTTATTCCCTTTTTAAATGAGCCGAACAGATGAGCTAATAAACTCGCAGATCCTCTCCGCCTCAGAGATCAGTGCCGGTTAGAGAGGGTTACTTTACTTTCCCTAGGAGGGTCCTCAGTCATTGGAAAAGATCACTGGTGTAACTTAGACAAAATCAGTTGTCATCACCCCCCAAAATAAATAAATTACTCCATGACCCGTCCGAGCCCCCAGATATATCATTCAATTAAGTGATGCCGACAAGTGGTGGTAGGTGGGCCGAA